TAGTTGCGACAACTGGCAAGGTAAACGGTGATCGAGCCACTTGGGACCGAAGTGAAGGCAATGGGTGGTTGTCGAGGTAAATAGGGAGTTGAGTGAAGGAGGTGGTTAAGGCTAGCTAGAGAGAATGGAAGGGAGAAAGGTCGAGGTTAGCTAGAAATGAAGTGGATGGAAGGACTTGTTGATGCTAAATAGAGAAAGTGAAGGGGAGGTAGTGGTGGTCGGTGATGGTGGCAATAATTAGTTGAGATATAAGAGTGAAGAGAGAGAAAGAGATGAAGAGAGTTAAGAGATTGAATTTATATGGAAGGGGTTTTTTAGTCCAAATCATTTTTGATGAATTAAGGTTCCATTATGTTGCAATTATTTTTCATGGTTCCATATATTTTGTAAATTTTTTTATTCCCTATTGATTTTCTATTTGTTCTATCCATTTATTTACATTTTTCTTTAAAAGTTATTTTCCTTTCATTTATTTTTTAATTTTTTTAATATTTAGTATAACAAGAACAACTAGCCCCAAGGCGGAGCCAGGATCATAAAGATGGGAAGAGACAAATGGATAAGAATGGTATATGGAAAATTTATTCCAATCGAGTTACAATAAATTTTTGAATTACTCAAAAAGATTATTTAAAATACTTAAAATTCATTACTTATTTGGACACTTGGTCCATAAGTTTAAAATTGAATTTTTTTTTCCCAAACGTCCACTCTGAAACATTATTTCTATAAAGGCAAGTCTCTACAAAATGATCAAAATACCCTTCACCATTTCTCACGCGTGTGTTACTATTTATTTTTTTCTCTATTTTTCTCTCCCTCACTCATAAGCTCTCTAAAACTCTTCAAATCTCTCTCTCTCTCTCTCTCTCTCTCTCTCTCTCTCTCTCCAAACCCTAATCCAATTCATCTCTCTCTTCATTCCCTTTTGGTATCACCTCCCACTCCTTCGACGTCTTTGCCTCCGGCAACCCCACATTCTTCTCCGACGGCATCGCCACCAAAGACCTCCAGATTGACCCGTCATCTCTTTATTCTCTTCTATCTCACAACCTAGCCATCGATCGCCATCGATTGTCATCGAGATCTAGGTGAACTCGGTGAGAGAAGAGAGAGAATTAGAGTTAGGAAGCGACGAGTTGAGTTGTTCAACGATGAGAAGTTGATGGCAAGGGTTAGGGTTTTGCACTTCCTCACTCTCTCTTCGACAATCCGTCACCTCCGAAAATCTATCTAGAACAATCCACTATCTCTGACGGTCTCTCTCATAACTGTTTTGTTGAAGTAGATAAGAAAGAGTACGGACAGAGATGAAAAGACGATAGCATAGAAGAGGAGGAACATAGAGTTTCCATCATCGATTACGGTTTTGAAACCCTAACTCATCATCGACAACCCCCTCTCACTTCAAATCGGATCTGTATTTGTGATAACACCAAAAAAAATTTCTCAAAATGTTATGTGTATGTGTGTGTATGTGTGTGTGTTTTTTTTTTTTTTTTTGTAGCTATTGATTGTTGTTGTGTTGTTGTTGTTGATGTTGATGAAACAGATTGCAAATATATAGGTTGAACAGATTCCATATGTTTGGTTCCACAGAGAGAGAAAGTAGGTTCAACAAATAGATATAAAAATTGAACAAATAGGTTAAAAAATTCTGTAGCTAAAAAAAAAATATCAAAATTTGAACAGATGTTTGATTGATTTGCAAAATTTGTACAGATAAAAATTATATATATGAAAATTTGTACAAATATTTGGGTAGAAAATTTGTACAGATAAAAGTATTGAACAGATAAAAAACTGGACAAATAGAAAATTTGCACAGATAAAATTTGAACAGATAGACAAATATTTGAACAGATAGATATAAATTTGAACAAATAGTCAACCAAAAGTCAAACAGATAAAAAAAGTCAAAGGGTAAAAATGGAAACAAAAATGTCCTCCAAGACTTCTCGCCAAACTGTTTTACAAAATGTGGACCTCTCACAAACAAAACAAAAAAAATCAATGGATCTAAAAAAAAAAAGGTTAATTTTTTGTATTGACTTTATTTATTTATTTTTATTATTTTAACCAATTACTAAATAAGGCCTTAATGCAAAAAAATGGGAAAGTTTTTTTTTTTCCTTATACCTTTTCTATCAAAATAACGAAACAGCAATGTTAGGTGTCATGAAAAACCTTTCATGAAAATAATCATGAAAGATTTGTGATCTTTGGATTACACTTAGAATAAAGCACTACACACTAATCAAGATAATCCAAAGGTCACAAAACTTTCATGATTATTTTCATGAAAAAATTTTCATGATTCCTAATTTTTCCCATAACGAAATCACAAGTCTTTTGATTGGTATAAAGAATAATTTAGCAAGGTTATTTCGATAATCTTATAGGTTATCAATGTTTAGAACTTATATTTGCGTAGTTAAAAGGAAAAAAAGAAAAAACAAAGATGCGAAAATAAACTGAAGTCAAAGAAGTTATGACTTGTTTGGTTGAGTTTTTTTATTTTTTTTTTTTTTTTTTTTTTGGTGGAAAAGTGGTTTTTCAAACAAAAAATCAAATACCACAGGGGTAGTGGCCTAGGCCAACCCCTTACCTAAGGGGAGGTTTTGGAGACGATACTCGGGTGCTGCTGTAGATGTATTGTACTTCTGTCGCATAATAGTTTAGACTGTTTATTGGGATGGGATGGGATGGGATAATTGGTACTCACCAGTGCCCGACGAGGATCCTTTTATTTGAATTAAATTAAATTAAATTGATAATCAATTATCCCGGTCTAGGGCTTGCAAAAGTAGTGGTAACTTATATTTTTTGTTAAAAAAATAAAAAATTAATAAAATCTCTCTCTCCAACTATATAGTAGGAGAAGTTTAAGATATTTATTTTATTAACTAACGTTCCTCAATATTTTCACAGAAAAAATTCAATTTAGAGAAATTTTCAAATTTCTCTGATGAATTAGTAAAATTTCTCTGAATCATGACGAAAATTCTTTGACTCGGACAAAATTTCTTTAAATCGAATTTTCTTTATAAAAATATTAAGAGACATGAAATATTATAAAAATATTATATGTGTTTTATATTATATAGATTTAATATCATGATCTTAAAAGAAAATTCTCAACAAATCAAATTTTTAAAAGGAAAGTCAGTCTTCAGTCCTTAATTGGATTGGACGGTACTCTTTAGTCCGTGGAGGCCTATCATATGTCTCATTTTAATAATTCGAACCGTTCAATATGTAAAACTCGTCAAATATTATATGCCTATAAAAAATCACGTTAATTGAATATCGATAATTATTCCATCTTATTAATTTTTTGTTAACCGTTAATTTATTCACCGTTCATTTTTTTTATACAAACTTATTTAATCGCATAACTATCAATATCTAATTAACATAATCATTTATAAATGTATAATACTTAATGTGTTCTACATATTAACAATTTAAATTATTAAAAAAAAACCCGTAATAAACTCTCACGTACCGATCAACACTTTCTAGTCCGATTAACGACCGGAGGCAAGCTGCTCCTTTTTTAAAACGACACACAAACAGGCTTAAATTCGAAAGTTGACATCGCTCGAGCACTAGCCACCGACGAGGAGAGAGAGAGGGAGAGAGAATGGTAGCACAAGGGGGGGTGATTTCTACGAGCTCTTGCTTTCTTTCTCTGCCTCGTCACTGTCGACCCTCCTCTACCAAACCTCCACGATTAGCTCGTAATTCCTCTGAAACTACTATCTATATTTCTAGCTGAATTTCATGCCCTGTTTTATGTATTGTGAACTTAATTTATGGGTTTTAATTGGATTTGATTTCTATGGTTAAATTTTTAGCTATACTTGGTTCCAATTGGTGGATTTTTTAAGTTAACCCATCATTCATGGTTTTTTTTGTTTATTTGTGTTTTTGGTTTTACTTATTTGCTTTCAAATTGTTCATGACTAACTATTTATGGTAAATTTACACTGATTTATTAAAACTGAAAAACAACATTTCAAAGATGTATTAGCAATTAACCATTATAGCTATGATGCTTCTATAATTATAGTAGTTGTAGAAGTCATCTAAAAGTATAGTTCTAGCTGAATTTTCATACCCTATTTTATGTATGTTTCTCAAATTCTTGATGATATTGAGGAACCTGATTTATGGGTTTTGATTGGCTTTGATTTCTAATTTAGCTTATTATATTCTATGTTAGTTTTTGGGCTCTATTGGGTTCCAACTGGTGAATTTTAGGGGATAACCCATATTCATGCAACTTTTGTTTTGTTTTGTTTTGTTTTTGTTTTTGTTTTTTTTTTTATACTCATTTTTCTTTATAATTGTTCCTGTCTATCTATGATGCCAATCTTGGATTTGAAGAGACTAACCATCATTTCATATGATGTTTTCATAGTTTTTTTTAAGCCCATGCTTACTGTAAATTTACTCTTATTGATTAAAACTGGTATGGGAACATTTCATGGATATATAGCAATTACCCATTTTATATATGATGCTTCTATAATTATGATAATTGTCTAAATTTGAATGGTCTATTCACTTTTACTTAAAGGGATGGAATGAAGAACCTCTCCAATGGAGCAACATATTGTAGCCATTTTTTTGAAAATGGTGAGTGCATCTCAAAAGAACACAGTGAAGTTGAGCTTTCGTTTAAAAAATACCTTAAAATGACCGGAAACTATAACAAGCATGGAATTTCACTATTTTTCTATATGGTTCCATTTAAATTGATGGAGTTTTACTTTGAAATGCTCCGTAAAAAGTGAATGGGCCAATTAGATTCAAGGTCCAATCAGATCGTGCTATTGCATCATTATTGTGCATTTGTTCATTGTACAAATAGGTCTAAACCATTGTAGTTTGATTCATGGGATTTCGTTTATGTACTTGTTGAGTTAAAAATATTTTATGAAGATTTGAACCATGATGAAGTGGATATGTGGGATTTAAAGGATGATAAAACCTTGGTTTGTTGAGACTCCAAGTTTTTTGCCCCCTACTAGTTTCTTAGAGGGACTTTATATTTGGATTGCATTGATGTTTTCATTGGTTTTGGTTATTTGGCAGTGGTAGCCATGAGTGATGATCCAATCCGTGAATGGATTCTTTCAGAAGGAAAGGCCACAAAGATTATAAGAATTAGTCCTGTTGGTGGTGGTTGCATCAATCTTGCCAGTCGTTATGACACTGATGCTGGTTCTTTCTTTGTTAAAACAAACAGGTATGTTAGTTTCTGTTCAGATGATTGATTCATATTTGGCTTTAGAGACAATTGCCAAATTGTTATGACCTGGTTTGGACTTACTGTGACATTTGATATTAGAGTATCAAATTGTTGATGGAATCATAGGATATAAATGCTTACTTCAATTAAGATTATGTATTGGCAAAGCTAGTACATTTTCATCTTCAATTATGCCAAATGAGCTCTTACCTATGAATCATGGATACTGTTAAAGGGGATTCATATCCATATTGGATACAGATACTCGTGGATACATACCCGATACTTCCTAAACGGATCCAATACTTGACGTTAATTTTGAGAAGTACTGGATACTTTTTGGACAAATGTAGGTCACATTCCAAACTATTATGAAATTGAAATTGTAATAAGTTTTGCATAGTATTAGAGTATAATTGTTAGGATAATAGCAAGAATAGTTTTTCAATATTTTCTTATTTTTGAAGAAGAAAATAGTGGGATTGAATTAGTACTCTACTCTTTCAGATTTTATCAAATCAGTGCATCCACTATAATAAAAAATAAAAAAAAGTAAAAAGACTATTGGCTCTTAAACTAATAACTAATTCCTAGAGAATAGTCTTGAGTTCATGTATAATATAATGTTAAAAATTATTTATATTTTTTCAGATTTTGTTATTCATCGTATCCATATTGTATCATAGCCGTATCCATGCTTCATAGGCTCTTACCAATATGCACAATTCTTCCTTTTTTTAAATCATGAAGAGAGTATTTGGTATACTTACCTGACCAAGATGCTCTTTAAACAATGAATCAGGAGTATTGGACCATCAATGTTTGAGGGAGAGGCTTTGGGTTTAGGTGCTATGTATGAAACCAGATCAATCCGTGTGCCAAGACCATATAAAGTGAGAAAGTCTCCAAACTATACAATCCATTGTCTTACTATTCACCAATTCTGACTTCTAAAATTAATGTTAAGACCTTTGGAAACTTATTTATTTTCAAATGCATTGTAGGTTGGAGCCCTACCAACAGGTGGTTCATATATCATCATGGAATTTATTGAATTTGGTGTATCTAGAGGCAATCAGGTGAATGGTGAAAATCTTGTGTGAGTCTTGATGATGGTGGTAATGGTTTTGTGTTTAGTTGTTGACCATTTACTGGTCCTCTCAGCCTGTTTTAGGGAGGAAGCTTGCTGAAATGCATAAAGTGGCAAAGTCAAAAAAAGGTTTTGGTTTTGATGTTGATAATACCATTGGCAGGTACATTGTACTGGATAATCACTATCATCTCTCTCTCTCTCTGACACACACACACACACACACACGCACACACACAAACACTTGCAGATGGGGCTTGTGAGTGAGAGTTCTCTTCAATAACTTCTGAAATTGTGACTGTGATGGTTGAACTATGATGCCTGTGTTTATCATCTCTTTTTTGATTTCACTGAGAGGCATTTTAAGATAAACAATAGATGTAACTACTTGTTTACTTTTAGTGAATCCATCTATTTTCTTATAGTACTCCTCAGATGAATACTTGGACGTCGGATTGGATTGAATTTTATGCAAAGCATAGATTGGGTTACCAACTGAAGTTGGCACGAGATCAGTATGGTGATTCCACCATTTATGAGAAAGGTAATTGTGTACTTAACTAATCAATATCTCTGTGAAAAGGGTTTCATGCCATATCATACTTTTAGGACCAAGGGTGTTAAGTGTGAGTGAATGAACTAAATAAACTTGGACACTGCATTAGGTGAATGTTATAAATAATCAGGTTTTTTAAATTGATTTTGTTTTTCCTTATATCCTTGCTTCAATGCTAAAACTATCAAGTGAGTTTTGCCGTAAGATTATTTTAGCATTAGAGAATATGGACTGTTGCAACTTGCATTAGTTTTCTCTTTAAACTAAAAAATTGTGACCATTGGTCCATTGCATTATCACATATATACACCTTGAAACTTGTATAAAAGTAGGATTTTTCTTATTAGATGCCCTATATGCTTCATTTTTAACTCCTACCCTATGTATGAATATATCAAGAACTTCAAAATGTATAGCATGCTGGATCCTTGCAATATGTTCTTACTAAGTGAAAATAAATAAATAAATATTTCTTTATTCTATGACAAAAAAGTCTATATACGGAGCTTAAACCAAAATAAAGAGAATTGCATATGTGACAACAATGAGAAACATTGTTGCTTGAAAGTGGGAATGTGTAGGAATACACGGGAATAATGAGGCCTCAGTTTAAAAAGAGTGTGCTAGTTGGACATCAGAAGTTTTAGACAAAGGCATTAAATTGAGTAGTTTCTGGTTTGTCATATTTAACAGGTCAAAGACTGATCAAGAATGTGGGACCTCTCTTTGAGAATGTTGTTATAGAACCGTGCTTACTACATGGAGACTTATGGAGTGGGAATGTCAACTCTGACAAAGATGGCGAGCCTGTCATACTTGATCCCGCGTGCTATTGTAAGTTCAAGTTGGTTTATTTTATCAACAAAAAAAAAAAGGTTCAGATTGAAATACCATTTCATTTCTGGATAGGTTTGTCTGTAAAAATTGTGTTCTGCTTTAAATTTTTGTCATTACATGTTAATAGGGATCTCAAAGGCCTACCGGTCCTTTAAGAATTTAAAGTATATGCAAATAAGAGTGGTTGACGGTTTTGCATAAAGTTTGGTATTACAATTTTAATGGTTCGAAAGTTAATGATGCAAGCCATTTAGCTGAGAAAGGTGCTGATATTGGAATACCGTCTAATGACTTATTTAAAATATTTTTAAAAAAAAACGAAATTTCAAAATTTTATTGTTGCCCCAAAAAAGAGAAAAATATATGAAAATGAGGAGTGTTCTTTATATATTTATTTACTTATTTACTTATTTCATTTTTTTCTCCAAACTAGTTTTCAGTTCTTCGGGGAAAAAAAAAAAAAAAAGAGAGAGAGAGAGAAGAAGAAGAAGAAAAAGAAGAGAGAAAAAAGATTTTAAGGTAATGCCTTCCCAAAATCTCAAGTGCCCAAGAGGATGGAGAAACTTCCTTATCCCTTCCAATTATTGTGTCAAATTTTAAGAATCAATTTTCAGATTTTCAAAGAGCTCATTATTGCACTTTTGAACAGTAGCGTACACTTTCAAGTTAGAAATTGTAATAAATTAGCTTCTTACTGCTTTTTGAAGCATAAACTGCATTGATGCTGAGAATCATTTCATTTTTCCTAGATGGGCATAATGAGGCAGAATTCGGAATGTCATGGTGTGCTGGATTTGGGGGAGCTTTTTACAATGCCTATTTTGAGGTATCCTGGTTTCCATATGGTTTGAAGTTTTTTCATTGAGTTGAAGTTTTTGCGAGATCAATCACATCCTAACCAAATCCAACTTTCATTTAATGATAGGACGATTAAAAAATTATGCTTGAGTTAACCAATCATCTTTTTAATTAATTTTTTATTTTAGTTTTTGGAAATGATGATCATCACAATTTAAATGCATCTCATGCCTCCATTAAAATTGAGAACAACATAGTTATACCAAGATACACACCGGTAAAAAAAACAAAAAACAAAGATAACAAGGGGTAGAGAAATACATGAGAGAGAATAGAGAGAGATAGTATAAATTATAAGAGCAGAGTTTAGCAAAATTAAACATTTATAGTGACAAATTGTAGGGATTTTGCTGAAAAGAAAAGATGAGGTATAAACATTTAGAGGAGGGGCATGCTTGAAATTTAATATTTATCAATTACAGGTAAAATTGCAATTTAAAAAAAATCAAAGAGGGCACAAGCCTCTGTACCCTCAATGTGGCTCTGCCACTGGTCGTATGCTACATTTTTTGAAAATTTCCGTCTTGACATATTCGTGTCATGTTCCTGCTGCATAGTTTCCAAGCTTTGCGCTTCTGGAACAATGCAATTGCCTTCTTTTGTCTTGGATATCACTCTAAATCTCTGTATTTTCGTTTCTCAGGTGATGCCCAAACAACCGGGTTTTGAAAAGAGAAGGGACCTTTATATGCTCTATCACTACTTGAATCATTACAATCTTTTTGGTTCTGGTTACCGGTCATCTGCCATGTCCATAATCGACGATTACCTACGGATGTTAAAAGCTTAGAAAATAGCCTAAAAACTTTATATTGTTGGTTTTACAATGTTCTTGTCTCTCTGTATGTGCGCTTGTTTACTGAAGCTCTGTAAATATTTTAAACTGTGTTGATACATTAATGATGTTGAGTCCTGTGCTTTGTCTACAAGTTTGTATTTTTGGGTTGAGCAGTCTCAGACACTCATTTTGCATTGTTGTTTATGTGATTGTTGTTTATTAAAATGTCTTGCACTGTCAAAAGGCCGTGAGTAGATTAGTATGGTTTTACTTTGTTGCTGCAAAGCAAATTATGATCAGATTATACCAATAGTCTTCGTAGTTCGTCTATTGTATCAATTTAATTCTTGTAATTCTAATTGCATTGGTTTTATCTTGAATTTTTCATATTGCATCAATTTAGTCTAACTATAATGCTCTTATAGAAATTGGATTGGACAAAATAGTTCATCCACTCTCGTCAAGTCATTGAAGGGTTAGCATCTAATTTAAAACGATCCATCCCTTTTGCTAATTGACCATTTTATCCTTAATTTTGTTCAATTTTTTAATTGAATTAAATTGACACAATATAAAAATTGAACAAGCGTAACTGATACAATTAGAATTAAAATGATCACATTGACACACAACTGATACAATTAGAATTAAAATGATCAAATTGACACACAATTGACAAATTATACGAACTGTGGGCATAATTTTTCCAAAAATTACCTTGAGTGGCAAGTTTTCAAAGTCAATAGTAAAATGGATTCAAGATCTACATGAGCAAGCACCAAACCAACAATAACAGACCAACAGCTCTCTTGTCCAAATCCAATTTAAGTCATTCATAAACAATCCCATTAGTTTCATCTATATCATATACCGGCTTCTGTGCAAGTTCAAGTCCAAACTATGTCAACTTATTTACAAAAACTGTTAATCAAACCTACTCCAATTCCAATATCACGGAAGCCATGTTGACATCCAATTGCAGATTAAAGATTGCTTTGCCACTTCCAACAAAAGATCAATCAGTATAGCTAAAAAGGGTATCGTCAAAATCAACGTTCCAGAAGATTTGAGGACTTATGCTCTTCCATGTTTCATTCAACGGAACATCCATTTTATTTTCTGCCTTGAAACGGTCAAATTCAACCAGTATTGACGGGAATGGTGGCAGAGAAGGCTGTTGTTGTGGAATGTCATCAATGGACATTGAAGGGTATTGAACTAAGCTTTCATTCCCACTGCCTTGTGCAGAGAGATTAGCCTTGTCTGTTCTGTTCTCATCAATGCCTGAAATACACATTTGGCTAGATTCGACTGACTTTCCATGACTTGCCAAAGACGGCTTTTGCTGAGGAATGTAATCGATGGATGTTGAAGGGAATTCAACTAAGCTTTCATTCCCACCGCCTACTGTAGAAAGATAAGCCTTGTCTGTTATGTTCTCATTATTGCCCAAAACACCCATTTGGCCAAACTCAACTAACTTTCCTTTACTTGCCAGAGAAGGTTGTTGCTAAGGAATGTAATCAATGGATGTTGAAGGGAATTGAACTAAGGGAGTAGCCTTGCCTGTTTTGTTCTCACCATTGCCCAAAACAACTATTTGGCCAGACTCGACTAACTTTCCATTACCTACCAGAGAAGGCTGTTGCTAAGGAATGTAATCGATGGATGTTGAAAGGAATTGAACTAAGAGATTAGCCTTGTCTGTTTTGTTCTCATCATTGCCCAAAACACCCATTTGGCCAAACTCGATTGACTTTCCATTACCTGCTAGAAAAGGCTGTCATTGAGGAATGTAATCGATGGAGGTTGAAGGGAATTGAACTAAGAGATTAGCCTTGATTGTTCTGTTCTCATCATTGCCCAAAACACCCATTTGGCTAGACTTGACTGACTTTCCATTACCTGCCAGAAAAGGCTGTTGTCGAGGAATGTAATCGATCTCATCATTGCTCGAAACACCACCCATTTGTCCACACTTGATAGACTTTCCATTACCTGACTGGCAACCTATATCCCACATATGTGCTAAAAGTATAAGAACGTGGAGTCCGGTTAGGATTGCCCAATGACCCTGTACTTTCAATGCTAGAAAGAATGGTTTTGGAGTTAATATTACTGACTAGGCCACTAGGAACATAGCCTGGATCCACTTGAGTTCGGCCTGTCTGTGGAGTGAATTGTGAAGTTCCAAAATCCAAAAAAATTATGTTGTTTTGCGCTATTGCATCAAGAGAAGATACATTACGGCCATATGGGTGTCCCAAGTTTGATGTACTAGTTGATGCTTCAAGGTGGGGCAAACAAGAGTTGAAGTTTGGTGCAGAAGGGCTTGTTGGAAAGAATGCTCCCTTGAAATGAGTTGTTAAGTTAGTTCCATAGTTAAAACCAGTAGACTGCAACCCTTCTTGAGCTCGCTTCATGCACATCCGGTATTTCTACCAAAAATTGTAAATGTATTTTGTCAATAAAAAATCTAAGATGATCAAGAAAACAGTAACAGAGCCAAGATTTTTGCAACATTGAGTAAAAAATCTAAGATGATCAATAAATTATGATATTCACCATGTTCGGAAACTAAAATAGAAAATAGAAAATAAAATTAATAATAAATTGTATTTTGCAACATTGAGTAGAGGCATTGTCAAGACCTATCACAACTCAACCGAATCTGATTTTCATGTGGTGGTAGGACAATTAAAGATCAATGTGATGCCAATGTTGTATGTTATATGCTCGAGTTAACTAATTTTTTTTTTTTGTTGATTTCCATTGTTTATTTATTATTAATTTTATTTTCTATTTTCTATTTTAGTTTCCGAACATGGTGAATATCATAATTTAAAATGCAATCATTGTGACTCTGTATAAAATGAAGACAAAATTAATGACACTATTATTATTAAATCCTATTTCGCTCTTCACGCATAATTTAGTAACGCTAAATGCTGATAATATTGCATATGATTCTATTTGTCAAATTGTGATTTTGATATTATTATTCCAGATTTCTTAGTAATTAATGACCCTCATGCATCAAAATTGTCATTAACTTATCCTAAAGACCTGTGTTCTTTGCACATGCCCTACAGAAATTGTGCTTTGTTTTTAATCTGATATCAAAATGGAGTAATATTCCAATCAAATATCACAAACAGAGTCGAACAATAAATTCAAAAAAAAAAAAAAGAAGATAAATTCTCAAATCTGAACAAGAACAAATCTGCAGATGACTTGTAACATTTTCTCTTGTCAATCTTGGGACATTCATAACTTCAACTATCTTCTTCGGAAAAGCCCCTAAGGTTCAAAAAAATCAAAATAAAAATAATAAAAACATGAGAGAGATTTGGTTTGGAAGGAAAAAAAACACACGAAATAAAAAAGGATGGAAAGAAGAGTAAGTCTACGAACCCCGAAAATAACCTGAAAGTACATAATGGGGCCAGTCTCACGTAAAAACAGAAAACAATAATAAAAATAGTGGGGCTTGCTGACATGTGCTTATACAATGCTTTTAGAGACAATTTCAGGATTTGTAGACTTACTGTAGGAAAAAAAGTAGAATGCAAAAACTAAGAAAAAGATAGAAAATGGTATCTTACTTTCATGCCCTAACTGTTCAATGGCTTCCAAGAATTTGTGATGCATCCAATCAGTCCAAACAACGCTTTGGTTCCTTTCATTTGGTGAGTCATCTTCTCTACCAACATCATTTAGTTCATGTGTCTTTTCTGGTTCTTTTCGCTTACGTTTTTTACAGTCCCGAGTCACTTCACGAAATGATGATGTATCCCCTAAGCTTGCCTCGACTACATTCTCATCCAGTACTGGTGCCCTTTGAGCACTTCTTGTTGCTTTACCTCTCTTTTTCATTTGCGCATTGCCAAAGGGTTTTAAAATCATTCACTCAATGATTTCAAAAAATGTAGTTTACCACCGCTAACGAGGTCTATTGACACAAGTTTTGCATTCTCATCGAGGGACATTGCTGCATTTAACATTTGAAAACTAATGAAAACATTTTAGATGAGAAATTTCACGCTAAATGACTTCACAAGATACAGTTTAGCGCCACTAGCAAGGCCTATTGACACAAGTTTTGTATTCTCATGAGGGACATTGCTGCATTTAACATTTGAAAACTAATGAAAACATTTTAGTCGAGAAATAGAACATCAACACTATGTTTGACATGCAGCCAACCCCAACCTATATTCACCATGTTTGGTTCTAGTTAGGCAAAAATAAAAAACTAAAAGATATTTTTGAATTTTCAAAAATTATTTCTGCCCAAGAAAAAAAAAAAAAAGAGAACCATATAAAAATGATGAATTTTTTTTCCTTCTCAATTAGTTTTAATTTTTTGATTTTTTTTTTTCCAGAAAACATATTTTGAAAACGAAACCAAACAAAGTAAGGTTTCCAAACAATTGATTTGAGTGAATTTGAGGGGGTGATGGAAGAACAACTGATACTGAAAGTAAACAGCATACTTATAGATGATAGTGAGTTCCTTTTCGATGTAGTGGAGGATCTCAAATCCATTAGTATTTGACTGATGAACATCTGTTATGACGAGGTTTAGGCTTTCTTTTTTCTCCCGGATGGCATTTAAAGCAACGGTTATCCTTTCAAACTTCAAAGCTGAGAGACACACAAAAAAATTTAGATTTAATCAAGACAAAGAACTTTATTGAGAATCGTAACCATGGCATCCGAAAGCTTCCTACTCGATCAAACCAAATATAGCCTTGACATCAAACTATAGTCTTACCACGCCATGGTGATACAGATGTTAAGAAATAACTCTACGAACAACGATAAAAAATCTTACAATTTATACAGATAGTATCATATAAGGAATGAAATCTTTTTTTTTTTTTTTCATGTGTAATTCCTATTTAATGCCTTCATATTGACTGCAGTGTTGAAGCATCATAGCCATGATATTACGATATATAGGATCATCATGCACAACTAATATGCAGATTGCTTTAGTTTCCATAGATTGCCTGGTAATTTGAAATGAAGTAACTCTCCTTGTGTCCATGCTTGATACTATAGAGTATATATGTAAAGAAGATGTCTTAATTTGGAGGAAAGAAGGCAAAAAGAATATCTTTTAAAGATTGGAGAGAAAGAGAGATGCATATAAATGATTTACTTGGACACGTGTGATTTTTCCTCAACCTGATTTTTGAGGAATAGGTTGGCTAGGAGGT